ACCACTCCATCATCAACATCTCGCTCCAGATGCTGACCACGCCTTCCATCACCGCCGAAATCGTCGAACGTGGCAACTTCCTCACCAGCCTGATGGCTATCCTATACACATTTTTGACCTCCCGGCAAGTTGGACACCCGTGGGACGTGGGGTCGAACGCCGTGTTGTCCTTTGACACCGGCTCCGTCACAAACCGAAGAATGTACCACTTCTTCCTTGACCTAAAATACCTCTTTGGGTCTCCACATGTCCAAGATCGCCTCAGGACCGAAGAGGGGTACATGATGCAGTTCCTGGACCTCGTCAAACTCCACCAAGGCATATGCCCCAACGTGCGGGCGATCGGCGAACACGTCGAGTACGAGGCGGACGGATGGATTAGTGCTTCTCTCGTTACGCGCGAGATTAACAGACTCTGTCGACAGTTCGCCGAGTCCTTCCGCAATGTTAAGGAACAGGATTTGCCCTACGTCTCGCGAGCGATCCGCCTCGCGGCCAAGACCGTCATCATCAACTCGATCGGAGCCGAGCGCGGCAGGTTTAGCCAATCTGAGATTAAGAACGAAGTCAGTTTCAAGACGCTCGGCGACTTTGAATTCGAGAGCCATGGCCGGAACTTCGAGGTTGTCAAGTTTGTGGTGGAAGAGGAGCCCATCAGTTTCCATCACGCTCTCCACTACACTCTATCGTGGCTGGTGGAATGCGGTAAATCGATGCCCGTCGAACAACTCAGGGCGCTACTTAGCTTCACAACTCAAGAACTCATGATGAAGCCGCGCTCCATGGGCAAGAAGACGATGCCGCGAGACGACGAGTACGGCCCGGAGGACTATTTAATGGCCGTGTTCGACTTCCCACTCCGTGTGTGCGCCTGGCTCGCCCAGATGAAAGCGGGTATGTGGGTTAGAAATGGGCTCAGTCTGCGCCACCAGGCTGGCACCTACCGTGGTGTCGGCCAGAGGGACGTCTCGCATCACCGCGACATCTTCTTGCTGCAGACGGCCCTCGTGGTTTGCGACCCCAGCCGCGTGCTCGCCTCTATCGTCGACCGCTTCGGCATGGAGAAGTGGTCCAGGGGCTTCTTCGAGCAGAAGTCCAAGGCTCAGGATGACATCCAACATCTGGATGTGGTTGAGGATATGATACACCTCCTCATCGTCCTCCTCAGCGACAGAACCTCGCTCATCCCCGCCGAGGATTCACGAGGTGCTTCCCACGTTGCGTCCATGCGCCGCGACGTCACGCACGTCCTCTGTTTCAAGCCTCTGTCATTCTCGGATATTTGTCTGAAGCTCCCAGATAAGTTCCAAGAGCAGGAGGATTTCCACAAAATACTAGACGAGATGACCATCTTCAAGTCGCCCGAAGGCCTGACCGACGTTGGCACTTTCGAGCTCAAGCCAGAGTACATCGAGAACGTCGATCCCTATATTGCCCACTATAACAAGAACCAGCGCGAAGAGGCCGAGATGGCTTGGCGGAAGTGCGTGGCCAAGAAGACCGGGAAGGCGGTGGAAGACGTTGTCTATGAGCCCAAGCTACGGCCCATCCCGTCGGGGGTCTTTGCCGGACTGGGCCAGTTTACGAACACGGGCATGTTCGCGCAGATCATCCACTACTCGCTGCTCTACACCCTCGTGTACGCTCGCCTGACCCCCCAGGTCCCGGCCACCCGCGTCGAGACCTTCTTGCAGGTGGTGTTGCACTTAGTCCTCATTGCCATTGCCGAGGACAAATCGGATGAAGACCAACCGCAGGCGTCTTTCATTGCTACCGCGCTCACCCAGCAAGCGCTTACCGTCCTTCTACCCGAGCCTCCACAAGCCAAGACGATCGTGGCCCTACTGAACCTGATTGCTTCCAAGGAGGAGTTCAAGGCCTGCCATCCGAAGGTGGCCACGATCCTTCGGAGGATGCGGCAGAAGAGGCCCAAATCCTTTGAGTCCAGCTATGAGCGTCTCGGCCTTTCCGTGGACCGTATGGGCGCGGCCTCGCCCGCAGCCGGCAGTGGTGACGAAGAGCGGGAGCGCAAGAAGCAGGCGGCACTAGACCGCCAAGCCCGGGTCATGGCACAGTTCCAAGCCCAGCAGAAGAGCTTCATGGAGAACCAGGGCGATATCAACTGGGGAGAGGTGGATGAGCTCGAAGATGACGTGGACGTGCCGCCCATGGAAGAGCACCGGGACTTTTGGAAGTACCCGACAGGCACTTGCATTCTGTGCCAGGAGGACACTGACGATCGACGGCTGTACGGCACTTTCTCCTACTTCACCGAAAGCAATATTCTCCGGCAGACGGACTTCCAAGATGCCGACTTCGTCAGGGAGGCGTTCAATACCCCGGATAATCTCGATCGATCCGCGGAGGAGATCCGGCCCTTTGGTGTTGCCCACGAGAACCGGCAAGTCGTTCAGAAGGTGAACCAACAAGGCGAAACGTTCGAGACGGAACGCCAGATCATCGGCAAAGGGTTCCCTGCAGAACTCTCTCGCCTCGGGCCGGTCGCGATTGGCTGCGGCCACATCATGCACTATCATTGCTTCGAAGCCTACTTTGAAGCTACCGTGAGACGACACAACCAGCAGATTGCGCGACATGCCCCGGAGAAGACTGCCAGGCTCGAATTCGTGTGCCCCCTCTGCAAAGCACTCGGGAATGCGTTCCTGCCCATTATCTGGAAGGGCCAAGAGGAGTCGTATCCGGGGCCGCTGGTGCCCACCACTCCGTTCTCATCATTCCTCGACTCCCAGCTTCACTCAGCATACTACACGCTCGGAGCCTCGCGCCCACCGGACCAGGTACAGAACGCGTTTGCCGCCTACACGGCCCACCACATGATCAACAACCTCGCAGAAAGGTCGTCGCAGCTACTGGACGACGCTTGGGTCGATGTGGGGGCCCAGTCTGTCTCGACAGGCACGCCGTTTAGCGAGACGTTCTCGATGGTTTCGGCCCCTGATCAAGGCGCCCGAGGGCCCACCCCCGATGCCAGCACCCCCATGAGGGAACTCGTCAATGTTTATCGCCGGCTCCGGGACACGCTGAGGGAGAACGGCATCATATCTCGCCATCAGTTTGAGCCTCCCGAGCAGGACGCAAATGAACTGTACGGGAGCGATGTCCTGGCACAATCCGTGGGGTTCTCTATTTCTGCTGTGGAGATTCAGCAGCGAGGCGTGGAAGCTGAGTACGGCATGACATTCCTTGAGAAGATCCCGGACCAGGTCCTCACCCAACTCCGGATCCTCAGCGAGACGGTGACCTCTTTCGTTGCCGTTGGGGGGTTGCGCGAATCCGGCGAGAATAAGATCGATACCGAGTACCGCAGGGATAGCGAGCGCCAGCATTGCCAGATGTTCATCACGCAGTATCTAGGCGAAGAGACGGAGCACACCCGGTTCCCGGCCAACAATTACGCTCCTCTCCTCAGCCAAGATCCATTCATATTCCTCTGCGAGAGTGTCTTTGGTGTCGTGCCGGCACAGGGGTACGATATCGCGCACATGGTTCGCTTGTGCTACCTGGCCGAGATTACCAAGGTGGTCTATCACCTCGCCCACAACATGCCCGCGACACTTTTCCTCCAGTTCCTAGCCCGTCAGGAGGATTCAGACCCATCCACCGCCAACTTTGTCTCCTTCTGCGAGGAGCTCACCAATATCGACTTGGAGTGTGCCTCCGGCCCGGAGCTAGGCGTCCATCGTCCCACGTTGGACAACAAGGGCTTCAACCAGCCGGGGTTGGATAGGTGGGATTCGTGGTACATCCTCCTGCGCAAGTACGCATTGGCGTTCCTGCGCAAGTGTGTCATGCTCCTGCACGTCAAGTACGGCGTCAACTTCAACAGCCGCGTGAGCCCTAACCCGGAACAGCGCGAGCTCGAGCGCCTCACCGAGGCCCTGCGCGTCCCATCGCTCGACGAGATGCTCACCGCGCTCACGCCGGCGCAGGGTGTGCGATACGGCTGGCCCGCCGACACGCCACGGCTCGTGGCCGGGTGGATCAAGCACCAAACGCTGTGGCCGTACAACGGCGACGACGAGTTGCTACCGGGCTCGGCTGTTCTCAGCCACCCGGGCATCTTCGAACTGGTGGGCCTGCCCAAGAACTACGACACGCTCATCGAGGAGTGCACGCGCCGCCGGTGCCCGACCAAGGGCAAGGACCTGACCGACCCCACCATCTGCCTGTTCTGCGGTGATATCTTTTGTGGCCAGGCGGTCTGCTGCGCCAAGGAGCTGAAGGACGGCCCGTACAAGGACTCGCAGATCGGCGGGTCGCAGCAGCATATGCAAAAGTAAGTTTTATTTCTCCATCGCTCTTCGCCCTAGATGGCACTAACGCAGCTACGATAGATGCCAGAAAAACATCGGCCTCTTCATCAACATCCGCAAGTGCTGCGTCTTCTACCTCTCGCGGCGCTCGGGCTCCTTCAGCCACGCGCCCTACATCGACAAGTACGGTGAGGTCGACATGGGCTTGCGCTACGGCCGCCAGCTCTTCCTCCACCAGAAGCGCTACGACTCGATGCTACGCAGCCTTTGGCTCGGCCACGGCGTCCCCAGCTTTATTGCCCGCAAGCTCGAGGCCGATATCAATAATGGAGGTTGGGAGACTATTTGAGGTTTGCCCTCGAGGTTGGGGTAAGGAGGGTGGGTTTGCGGTGGGTGTGGTGGTGCATTTGGTGGGTGGTGTTAGGACGCGGCTACAAATGGATTATCTGGCAGGCATTGGCTCTTTCTTTTGGTTTTTTTTGCGATGACAAACAAGAATACATGACTACTTACCAGCAGTCTATCTTTTCTACCGGCCGATGTACAGAATGGGTGGGGATGGTTTTAGGAATGGGTTAGTGGATACAAACAATCTCAGTACATTCTCACAACAAACAGGCTTGGGTTTCATTGTCGCGTCAACTAGGTGTTGGGGGTGGTGAAAAGCAAATGGTGCAAGGGGAAAAGAATAAAAAAGGTGGTTTTGGTCTTTAAAACCTATTGTCCCGATCCGCCCAGGGCTCGAACCTGGAACCTCTTGATGACTCGCTCCTTCCTGAGATATCTCAGAGGAGGCAGAAGTCGTAGTCAAACGCTCTACCATTGAGCCAGCGGACCTTGTTGATTGTTGAATAACGAGGTGGGAGTTTGTGGTTAAAAGGTACTACGTCGAGTTCTTGGGGGATTCGGGGGGTCGAGGATGAGGTTTTACTTCACTTCTAGATTTTGAGAGCAGTCAAGCACCCTATCATGGTGGCAATGGATTGTGGAAGGACTAGGAAAGTAATCCAGAACCTAGAGGCATGGATGGCAGGCAACTAGGGTAGGACTGAGGGTAGGTGATCTACCGACTGACATGGAGTTAGCCTCAGTCTTCCCTTCTCTTCTCTTAGCTACCGCGACAAACTCACAAGAGCCAGATCGACTGTCTGCTGGTTATTGTGCTTTCACCATCCAAGGCCCTTGAGCAGGTGGAGTCGATAGGTTGTCTCGATATGACGAGGGTAGGAAGTAGCTATGTATCCAGTAGCAGAACCAACTTCGTCCTCCTGCCCCATCTCCATCCCCTTTCCATCTTTATCCTCACCCCACCCATCCTACCGCCCCTCTCCCTCACGACATCATGTCGGCCGGCCCTATCTAGACACTAACACCACTATCACCCGCTGAAGCCAAGAGCGCCTCCCTCAACCTCGCCAACGCCTCCAACACCGTCGCCTCCCGCACATGCTCCCTCGAACCCGGAAACATAAACGGCCCAAACGCCCTCCCTCCGGCTGGCGAAGCAATCCCAATATACACCGTCCCCGCGGCCTTCCCATCCTGCTCTCCAGGCCCCGCGACACCCGTGGTACCCACCCCCCACGTCGCCAACCCCTCCCCTTCGCCTTTCCCCTCCAGACCACCATCACCACCATCACCCCCCACCACCGCCACCACCGCAGCCGCCCTCCTCGCCCCAACCGCCATCTGCACCGCCACCTCCCCATGCACGACCCCCTCCCGCTCAATCAGCGCCGCATCCACGCCCAGCAGGGTACGCTTGAGCGGCGTGGCATACGCGACGACACCCCCGCGGAAGACGGCGCTGGCGCCGGGGACCGAGGTCAGCGCGGCCATGACGCCGCCTGCGGTGAGGGACTCCGCGACGCTGACTGTCTCGCTGGCGGTGCGGAGGAGGCGGATTACGTCGGCGGCTATGTCGAGGGCGGTTTCGGTGGTGCGTGGGGTGTGTTGCTGGGTGGTGGTGGATGCCATGGTTGGGATATGGTATGGTGGTGTTGCTCTTCCTACGTGGATGAGTTGATTGAGTGTGAGACTAGGAGGATGATAAAGATAGCGGTATAGAAGAGGAGAATGATACTTGGGTGTCAAAAGTCTGAAGCCTGGCCTCAAGTTAAGTAGGCACATAGGTCCAGCTTCTCCTCTTTTGACTCACAAGGCTCTAGAAACGATGTCCCATAGTTTTCCCCTGGATTAGGCACCTCTCTGCCCAACTCCACAAAACCATGAGGCTTCCTGCATGTAAGACCGGCTAGGGAACCTGTAAGCCAGCAAATCATCTTGACAAGGCTCCCGACTGACCAATGATATTAACACGGCCAAATAAAGTCCGAATGTATGCTGTTTAAGCGCCATCTGTGTCAGCCCCAAGGCAGGCAAGGCTCGATATCCAATGAACATACTCCGTATTACTACTCGTCTCGGTACCTAGTATGTAACCAACTACTCGCTCTATCGATACAAGTCCATTCCGCCAACCTGACACGAAGCCGGCAGCATGTCACATCATCTCCCTCAAACAAAACCCGACAGCTCACCGCAGGCTCCATGGACCGCTGTACATGGCCCTTACAACCGCAACATCGTCCCCCCACGGCCGGAATCCGCCCCGCAGGTGTTGTTTCTCTTGTTGTTGTTCTCCATGTGCCTGTGCCCCAGAGCCCTTATAGCCCCCATCACCAGCACGATTCTCCCCATCCCCCCTGCCTCCATGCTCCCCATCTAACCCAACAACTCCCCCAGCACCGACCTCACCACCGACCCCACCCCCACCCCCTTTTCTATCCTCTCCACCGTCATCACCATCATCCTCCCCCCTCATCCTCGTCCACTCATACCCCAAAAACGCCGTCCGCCGCCTCACCTCCATCGCAACCGCGCAAGTCCGCCTATCCCGCAGCAGCTTATCACGCGGCCGCCTGCGCTCTCTCTGCCCCCCCTTCCCTTCACCATCACCCACCCCTTCTCCACCACCACCAGCAGCGCCACCAAACCGCCCGACAAACCCCCTCAGATACGTACGCTCCGCCTCGGTCGCGTCAGCCAGCGTCATCTGCGCCAGGTACGCCTCCAGCATGCGCATCTTGGTGTCGACGCCGGCGTGGTGGGGCGGTGGCGGAGGTGGGGTCGATAGTACCGCGAGAGCGAGGCTCTGCAGCGGGTACCGCAAGGGACGGAGGTAGGCGAGTTGCTCTTCTTGGTGGGCGAAGGCGGGGGTGGCGGTGGGGATGGAGGGTGGGAAGTGGGTTGGCGTGGCGACGGATTCGAGGGACGGGAGGAGTTGTAAGGGGGTTGCTGTTGGTGAGTAGCAGTTTGTGTCGCTTGTCGCGTGGGGGCTGTAGCTCTGTAGATAACCGGCGCCACCGCCATGGTCTGGGTAAGGGTGCGCGTGCGCAAGGGGGGTCTGGAAACATGCCGCGGGAGACCAGCCCGGCATGGGGCAGGCAGGCGGGGGGAAGAGCATGTTTGGGCTGTGTTCCGCGGCGCCGTCGTGGGCATCATTGACTGGGATATCCTCGTCTGCGGCCGCGCTCTCACTCCCGTCGCTTACCGACCCGCCGTCTTCGAAATAGTGTGTATCGTCAACAGAACGGAGCTTGGGTATCAACGGCGGCTCCAGCTCGTGCAGGCGCTCCCAGGGAATGTGGCGGAACCACTTGTGCGCCTTTATGTCCTCGGCGTCGTAGGGAAACACATAGCGGCCGGCAAAGTCGCGTATCTTGGAGCTAGGCCCGGACGATGAGGAGGAGGACGACGATGTAATCAAGTCCTTCATGCGGTACCGCTCCGAGCAGAGCCGGTACTCCTTGTCTGCGATCAGAGAGAGCATCAGATGCTGGCATCGGCGTGACACGGTCGGGCGCGGGGGGAAGCCGAAGGTCTCATGGTGCCGTATGATGTTGTCCTTGGTCTGGCGCCGACCCTCTTCAGACAGAAAAGGGGTATGGCCGTAGATGCACTCGAACAGGATGACACCGACGCTCCACTAGTCACACCGAGCATCGTATCTCCTCCCCTCGATCACCTCGGGGGCCATGTACTGACTAGTCCCGACAACGCTCCTGGCTGCGTACCGGATCCCGCAGCGGTTACGCCAGCTCAGCAGCGGCTCGCCGTTCTGCTCGATCTTTCTGTCGTGCCTTGCGATGGCGGCTGTAATACCGCTAGACCGCTTGTCGGTCTCGGGGTCGCGGTCCTCGCTCCTGTCCTTACCGTCGCCGTCGACGCGGATGCCCAGCTTCCGCACCAGGCTCTACCGGTGGCTGTTGTAGTAGGTCGCGTCGTGGGACCAGTGTCCGTCAAAGGCCAGGCCGAAGTCGCTGATCTTGAGATGGCCCGAGGCTGAGACCAGGAAGTTGTCGGGCTTGATATCGCGGTGGATACACTTGAGCGAATGCGCCGCCTCGACGCACAGGATGATCTCGGCCACGTAGAAGCGCGCCACCGATTCGTGCAGGATGTTCTCGCGGATCAGGAGACTCAGGAAGTCGCCGCCCGGCATGTACTCCATCACCAGATACAGGTTCGTCAGGTCCTGGAAGCTGGCCACGAGGGGCACGATCCTAGTAGGATCAGTAATGCATTGCTCAGGGGGACACCCCATAGGATCAGGGAACATAGGGACTCACCAACGCGACCCCTCGCTCGCCACCAGGATATCTCTCTCGGCCCTCAAATGGCCCTCCTGGCTTGTCCTAAGCATCTTGCTCTTCCGGATAACCTTCATGGCGTACACCCTGCCCGCCCGCCCGCGCTCCCTCACCAGCCTCACGACTCCAAAGCTCCCCTTCCCCAGCACACTCACCGTCTCATATCCGCGGTAGCCCGACAACCCTCCTCCATCCATCCCACCCTTACCCCCTTTTCCCTCTTCACCCACGCCATTCCCATTCCCACTCTCACCCTCGCCCCCTAACCCAGAACCAGAACCAGAACCAGTCCCAGTCCCACAACCCACACCCACCAACCCCAACCCCCTCACCTTCACAACCCTCATCTCCCTCAAATATTCACTCTCCCTCCTCCAGAACCTCACCCTTGCCGCCGCCGCCGCAGCAGCAGCAGCAGCCGCCCCCCCATTCCCACCACTATTCCCACCATTCCCGCCACCATTCCCACCAACCCGATTCCGATTAAACAGCTCCGTCTCCAACATCTGCTGCCGCATCTGTCTCGGCGACGGGCCCGGCCCGAGCAGCTTGCCGAAATGGGTTTCGAGGAAAATCTTGGCGGCCGCGGCGCGCTCGGCTGTGGCTATGCTGGCGATGGGGGTGAGGGTTGAGGTTGGAGTTGGAGTTGGGGTGAAAGTGCGGGTTGGGGTGAGAGGCGAGGTGGGAGGCGGGGGGTGGATTGTGGCGGGTGCTTTGGTGGGTGTTGGGGCGGGAGTGGGGAGGCGGTAGGGGTGGAGGAGGTGGCTGATGGGGTTGATCGGGGTCGGGCGTTTGTTGTTGCTGGTCTTGGGGGTGCTAGGGCGGGTTGCTGTTGCCCTGGGAGGCGTGGATGGGGGGTGGTGGATGTTGGTGCGTCTCGGGGTGGACGGCGGCGTTGCTCTGCCCTGGGGATCCGGGCGCGGGGTGCGGTTCCGGGGCCGGTTTCCCTCGCGGCCTACCGTGTTGGGATCTTGCGTCTTGAAGGTGGACTCTACCGATGCCTTTTGGGCTGGCTTGCCCGAGTTGCTGTTGGAAGCGCTGGTCTTGCTAGAGCTGGTATTGGAGGCCGTGGTGTGCGTCGGGCTAGAGCCGGAAGTCGACTCCGGCGAGGTCTCTGCTCCTCGGAAGGTTTCTTTCACCAGTGGCCGGCTCTTCGGCGATGTCCTGCGAACGACTGTCGGCTCC